CCCATGTCTTTTTGCTAAAATCATCAATGAAAGTGAGGAAGTACCTATTTTATCCAGTCGTCATAGGCTTTATAGGACCACACACATCTGTGTGTACTAACTCAAGTGGCTTGTTTGCTTTCCAGTTGACTTCTTTGGCAAAACTGGATCTGTGATGTTTATTGAGGACACAACTTTCACAGACTTCTTCTGGATGATCAATGTGGGGCATACCTTTGACCATCTTCTTGCTTGTTAGCATCTTCAGACTTGTAAAATTCAGATATCCAAGCCTCAGGTGCCAAAGCCATTCTTCACTGTTGGTGATGGCACTCAAACACTTTGCTGCATCATATTGGATGTTTAAAGGAAACATTCTATTCTTGAATATTTTCACAAAGGCAATTAATCTCCCATTGTAGTCTGTAATTGTCAGATGACAATTCTTCATGTAAAGTGTATAGCCTCTCTCTAAAAGTTGACCTATGCTCACCAAGTTCTGCTTTATGGCTGGGACATAGTAGACATCGACGATGTAGCTATGATCGCCATTCTTCAACTTGATAGGGATGTTGTCTTTACCTTTGAATGAAACTTTTAATGTATCTCCAAAGGTGACAAAACCTTGTATGGTCTCATCTAGATCATCAAATAAATCTCGTTGGCCACACATGTGATTGCTGGCTCCAGAATCAAGATACCAAATATTCTCTTGATTCTTGTCAAGTCCTTGTTGCACAAATAATGCAGCTGCTCCTTTACTGTTGACATCCTTTTTTACATAGTTGACTCGCTCACGTATCTCCAGTGGAGCTTTCTTTTGACATTCAGTGTTATAGTAGCCAAATTGATTGCAATTATAACACTGAATATTACTCTTGTCATGATTATTGTAACCGCCTCCTCTTCCTCTAGGAGTGAATGCTTGTTGTCCTCGACCTCTTCTAGTGGTGTTTTTACCACCTCTTCCTCTAAAACCTGTATTCCAAGAACCTCTGCCTTGAAATCGTTGAAATCCTCCTCGTGTTTGTTGACTTCTTCCTCGAGTGGTGTATCCACTTGTTGAAGTCTCCCCTTGCTCATATTTGTCTTTGAGAGACAACTTTGCTTATAAGGCATGCTCAATTGCCTTATCTCCATTTCTTTTTACAATCTTCTGCTCATGAGCTTGCAAAGAACTCGTAAGTTCATCCACTGTTAACTTGTCCACTTCTTTGGACTCTTCAATAGCTACAACAATAAAATCAAATTTTGGATTTAGGGATCTCAAAATTTTGTCAGTAATTCGAGCATCTGAAAAGGCTTCTCCATTTCTTCTCATATGATTAACTATCACCATAATTCTTGTGTGATAATTAGAAATGAATTCTGAGGACTTCATTTGTAGCAATTCAAATTCACCTTGTAAAGATTGGAGACGAATCTTCTTTATTCCGTCAGCACCTTTGTATTTTTGTTGGAGAGCCTCCCATATTTCTTTTGATGTTTCTGCGAAAGCAATGATTTCAAATGTCGCTTCATCAAGACCTTGATAAATGATGGTCTTTGCTTTGTTGTCTTTCTTTTTATTGGCTTTGAGGACTTGCTTTTGTATCTCTGGCAAAGCATCTTCTGATTCTTTGGACTTTGTTTCATCATAACCATATTGCACAATGTCTATACACTCTTGTGAACCAAGGAATGCCTTCAATCTGATGCACCAACTATCATAGTTGTCTTTGTTTAGCTTCGGGGTGAGTGTTTGTGTATTTTTTGTAGTCATTTTGCTCTTTAAATGACTATATCACCTTTTGGGAGTTGAATTTGGCAAAACCTACACCATAGATGGATCTGGAATGATCCAAATAGTAAGGAACTGGTCTAACTTTATAAAAAACGGGTAAAAAATGGGGTGAACCGGTCCAAAAACCAATTCGGGCGGTTTGCTAGGTTGAACCGGGAATATTCCAAGGAATATTATTTTTGGCTTGGCTTCAGAATATGGCTCGGAGCTTGGCTTGGCTTCGGAATATGGCTTGGAGCTTGGCTCGGCTTTGAATATGGCTCGTGGCTTGGCTCGCGACTTGGCTCGGCGTGGCTCAAATATGGCGCGTGTGTGGCTCAGTCGTCTTCTTCCTTGGGACACGTGTGCTACAATACTGAAACTTCAGACGGAGAGCGTGGTCCACCCTGTGCTCCGATTGATCTGATTTTTACACTGTTGAGTTCGTATGGATGAGCTATACACTTTGGAATGATCAAAACTTGTTTTTTGACAACTTTGAAAATTCGGATATATCCCAAAAATACCTCTGTTTTCTGACAAACGGGGCTTTGATACCAATTGTTGGTGGGAGAAACCACTTGTGGTGGCTTTGAAACACTTGGAGGGGATAAAACACACTCTTTTATTTCAAGAACAACAAGCTTACAATAATGAAAAGCTTAGAATAACACACCCTCTCTCTTTCTCTCTTTCTCTCTAGTGTTTCCCTCAATCTCTCCACACATAATTGGATAAGTTTAACTATCTATTTATACACAAAATCAAAACAAGAAAATTTAACCTTCAAGTGTGAAGGCGGTTGTTGCCGACTGTGTGAAAGCGGCTGACGGCTGGACGGTTGGGCGATGATAGTTGGTGGTTGCCTTCCTTGAACTTCTAGATTGAGTTTACTTCAACGGAATATGCCAAGCTATTGACGATGGTCCCACATGTGTTCATTGTTAATTGGAGGAATCATTTCAGGTATGTTAGTCAACTGCTTGTTTACTTTGATGTTTGACTATTTAGTACACTGAAGAAGGGGGGAGGGGATTCACTATGATCACATTTTTATATTTGTTTGTCAGGAATATGAGGCAAGGTTATTTCGTCTTAAAAAATTACATGGAGGCATTATTACATCTGCTGAGGAGGTAGTGAATCTGCAAAAAAGAAACTCAGAGAGAAATCATTACTACTGGAATTTTGAGCGCCAAAGAAAAATTTACTGCCATCTAGTGATTTGAATGAAGAATGAAGGAAAAGAAAGACTGGAGAAATAGTGATTGGTAAGTTTCCTTACCTCAATAGGTCAAACTAAACCATCTTTCATCTACCAGATGTTTATTCTAGAGATTCCTCGTGTCCTTCCGTCAACGGACATGGTTGTCAGACTGAATGGTTGTTCTTATGTGAACTAGCCTATGAATCTTACTCCAGCATATATGGCTGTATATTTTTTAAGACTCTTATCACTTGATTGGAGCTTGCAACATATAAGCACAAGTCAACAAATAGGCGGCTCATCTCATTTTAGCAATGCCAAATTTTAATCACCAGTGCTAGGTTGTTTTTAGACGCCCCTCTTTACAATTCTTGGGGCACGTCACATGCAGGGAGGGGTAGTAGCTTAAGACATAAACTTACTGGATACCGAGTGAAACTCTGTCCTAAGTATTCTAAAAGTCATCAAATATTTGTTTTTGTCACTTTCATGATGCCTAATCAGTCGCTCACTTTCAAGTCGTGTATATTCCCTTATTGTTGATAGGTTTCAAAATCGCCATCTGAATTGGAGGTTATTCTGGGAGTTATAAAGAGCTATTGCAAGGCCCAGTTAGAAAATGAAGTTGTGTCTGCTGCCAGCCTGCAGATACACGTCTGGAGGTATGCTTGATCGATTCTTCTTTTCTTTCTTCTTTTTCTTTTTCTTATGGAATTGAGGAAAAGTAAAGTTAGACATGTTGATCCAACTTACTTCAAAAGCTTAGTAGGAAGCTTAAGGTACTTAACATGTACCAGACCGGATATACTCTACAAAGTCGGACTTATCAGCAGATATATGGAGAAGCCAGACTAGTCTTATTTGAATGCAGCCAAGAGAATTCTTCGCTACATCAAAGACACAATAAATGAAGGTATGCTTTATACCTCAAGTACAAATTTCAATCTTACTAGCTACTCGGATAGTGATTAGGGTAGAAATCTGGATGAAAGGAAAAGCACGATAAGGTTTGTATTTTTCATGGGAGATACATATTTCACATGGTCATCCAAGAAGCAATCGATTGTCACGTTATCAAGCTGTGAAGCTGAGTATGTTGCTGCCAACTCAGCTGTATGCCATTTAATATGGTTAAGGAATTTGTTGAAGTTTTTGGGATTTCCTCAACAAAATCCTATAGAGATTTATATCGATAATCGATCAGCGATTGCATTGGCAAAGAACCTGATGTATCATGAAAGAAGTAAACATATTGATACACGTCATCACTTTATCTGAGAGTATGTAAAGAACAAAAAAGTTGAGCTGATATCCTGCAAGATAGATGATCAAATTGCAGATATCTTTACCAAGCCATTAAAGAGAGAAGTATTTATCAGATTGAAATTTATGCTTGGAATGACATCCCTCGATTGAGTTTAAGGGGGAGATTTGTTGAAGTAAACTCAATCTAGAAGGTCAAGGAAGGCAACCACCAGCTGTCACCGCCCGACCGCTAGCCGCTTTCACATCGTTGGCCACAACCACCTTCACACTTAAAGGTTGAATTTTCTTGTTTTGAATTCGTGTATAAATAGGCAGTTAAACTTATGCAATTAAGTGTGGAGAGATTTGAGAGAAACACTAGAGAGAAAGAGAGGGTGTATATTATAAGCTTTTGTTTATGTTGTAAACTTGTTGTTCTTTAAATAAAATAGTGTGTTTTATCCTTTCTGGGTGTTTCAAACCCACCACAAGTGGTTTCTCCCACCAACAATTGACATGTGCTATTATTTGGTGTTTTCTTTGATACTTTAAGGTGCTTTCATGCTATTCTCTTTCTCTTTTGACTTTCTATGAGTTCATCTTTCTAAAAGAGGTTATTATTGCATGCCATTGTTGTGAATTTTTTACAAGCCTAAACCATCAAAGTTAGTCCTATTTCTTTGGAAAAACTACAATCGAAGCATTTTAATTGGATTAGTGATAATGATGGGAATTAATATGTTTTAGCTACTACTATCACCATCACTACTACTCCACACACACATGCACAACATAAACACTACAGCAATATCAATGCTAATGAAATCACCTATATCCGGATGAAAGGAGGAAGGTAGATAGATCTCTTGATCATCTTATTTATGTTATTTTTTGTAGTTCAACTGATCTTCATGGACCTTCTGTTTTCATTTTGCTTTTCAGGTTTGCCAAAAGATTGTTGTTAAATTCCTCTTAATTTGGTAACTCGAACAAAATTATCAAGAAGCCACATCATCCAAGAAAAGTGGTTCCTTCTGTTTTCAGCATTCTTATACAAGCAAAGTGCACAAGATATCACGAGCGAAATAAAAGGAGATTGGGGATGAAAAATAACTGCCTTGCATAATTTGTGCAAATATTGAAATCTTGTAATTTGACTTTGGGGAGGGAAGAGAGAGATTCAATTATAGTAGATCAACACTTGGTTTTCTGTAAAAATTGGTATTGTGCGAAGTTTAAAAGTTTGAATGTATGCATACCTCTTTGTTGTTAAAAATATTTAGTTCTGGAAACTAAAGTTTAAGTATAGGAGAAACAGATTCAAGATGGCAGAGTTGAGTAGAAAGATCAATAAATTTCATTAATTTCAAATGCCTAAATATATAGGGTTACATAGAACTTGGAATGGATTGAAACTCTCAACAAACTTGAGATATTATTGGAATTGAAAATAACAAACTGCTGCAAATCCTGAAGAATCAAAACAATAATATAAAATTCAAATAACATAACTGCACTTAACTCTATCTTACTCAAGGCATAATCTCATAATTCTAACATTTGTTTCCCAGTGCCAAAAATACAGTTAGAAGTGCGTTTCAGGTATTTTAATGTTGATCGACTTATTTGTAGACTTCAACATATGTTTTATCATGTCTTTTGGTTGTGACTTCATAAATGCAGGAAATCACATGTTGCCATCAATGAATTCAGAGCGCAGAATAGCAGTCCCAAAAGAACTCATAGACAACAACAAGAAACAACATCTGTTCAAGTGTTGCTGCTCTTAATCCAGCATGGAGCCAATGGACTTAATCTCTTAGAAGCACAGCATGTTGTTCTAGTGGAGACACTGCTCAATCCAGCAGCTGAGGCTCAAGCAGTCAGCCGGGTGCACCGAATTGGGGAGGAAAAGAGGACATTAGTCCATCGATTGATAGTATGCTCCCTTTCCTTTTTTTTTGGTTTTTTGTTAAACTAATTTTGGATGCTATACACTTGTGTTTTTTCTCTTTTGAACATTGCATATAGTAGACATGCATTTGAGATACATAACATTGCATGGGGTATTTTGGGACTATTTGTTTGAGTTCCTTTTTAAAATAATTTACATTTCTATTTAGCTCTCCATTTATCCATGCAATTTCTATATGTAATTAGATTAGATTTATAATAATCTTTATCATGTCAACCATCCGATTGTTGCTCGAATGGAGCCTTTTATATTTGTTTCAGAATTTAAATGTACACTCCCTTCTTTAGTGATTATATTAGGATTTGATGCTATGAAAAGGAGCATCAGGAAATCTTCAAGGACTAGCGTGAGGGTTTTCTATTAACAATTCTTCAATCTCATTCCTTTTTGTGAATTTGTGCACGTGTGTAATTCTTCAATCTCATGCTTTCTAGTTTGCTTGCTGTCCGAAACTTTGAAAATTCATGTCATCTGTTAGAATTTCTGCTCTATAGTCTCTATGTGTTCTAACAAAATTTCTCCCTTTCCTTCTATGATCTTATCAGGTTAAAGACACCGTGGAAGAGAGCATATATAAACTGAACAGAAGTAGAAGCACCAGTTCATTCATAAGTGGGAACACGAAGAATCAGGATCAGCCTGTGTTAACCCTTAAGGATGTTGAGTCCCTATTTGCAACAGTGCCGTCCACTGTACCAGAAAGCGATGGAAAACCAAGACATCTGCCCCCGTCTGTGGCTGCTGCTCTAGCAGCTGAGAGGAGACTGAAGGAAAATAGAGCAGGAATTTCAGTGTGATAATCATTCTTTTCTTTGAACACCGAACCTCGGAATGGAATTGCAGTGAAGCAATCTTCTGGCTATGTCACTTCCAACAGGCAGCTGTTGGTTCATCTCCAAAGGGGAGAGCATCTCCCCAGCCCGTCATAGATTGTCTAACCAGTGGTTGCATAGTCGTCTATGATTTTTTTTTTTATTGCTGTACATATGAAGAATGCCATTTTTTAGCCCTCTGTCAGTTACAGAGAGTAATTTAACGAGGAATTCGTCGTAGATTAGCTCATTTAGCCATTGTGTATACTCGCTGCGTAGGTTGAACAAAAATAACAGGACAAAGCTAAGAAAAGCTAGGTCCTCTTCTCCTTATATTCTCCCTTTCCTTTCATGTCTAATGGCATATATTAGACACTCCATTCAATCTTTGCACCATCTTTCTTTGTCTACATTTGTTCAAAGAACTGGATCGTCAATTTGTATAGAAACACATCCCCATAATCTTCATTACAACTAGCTCTGTTTTGCAGTCTCCCATTCCAAAGTCTGTGCTGTCAAGGCATTGATTTTTATTTATGAAATATTATATTTATAATAAGTTATTTTAAATATCTCACCTCGTGTGTTAATTTTTTATTAACAAAGAAATATATAAATTTTTATTTATTTTTCATTTCATTTATTTCAATATAAAAATATATAAATTTGTCTAATGTCATTTTTATTTTATATAAACATAAAATAAAAATGGCATATAATAAATTTTGATTTTTTGATTCTTTTTATAGTTTTATATATGATTTTGTTTATCATATAATTAAATAAAAATAATTAAAAAAATAAAGTTATTAAATCCAATAAAATTACATTACAAAAAATTAAATTCAATTTAAATTGTCGTTGTCTAAAGAACCTCGAACAATTTAATCCTTGCTGATGGAAGCAAAGTAGACATGAAAAGTCCTAGGTTGCAGCAAAAAATATCTCTTTTTTTTCTTAACAAGGAAGCAGCTAAGCATGGGTCTAGCCAAATTGATAAATAGGTAACAGGGGCTAGCAGGAAAGCAAAAGAGAGAGAGCTGCCATCCGCAAAAATGCGACGATTACAAGAGTGTTGGGTCATAAGCCCGCATGAAAGAGGGTTGGCTATATCAGCTTAGAGCATAGATAAAAACCTCCTCTTAATAACTTGCATCGGATCAGCTAATATATATGTTGAAAAGATTGAAATGATAAAATGATGAGTTTTTGACAACTCCATGAATAAATAGAACAAATATACAATAAGAGAGTAAGTTATAATGTGATTAATTTATTAGGTTCATACATGATAATAATATAACAAAACAAACCACTAACACATAAATATAGTTAAAGTTATTTCATTTTTTTAGTGCTATAAATTAGAAAATCAGAAATAAAATGAAAAAAGGGAAGCAAATGTGTTCACATAAAGATAAAGTATCATAACAAATATATGCGATAAAAAATTAATTATCATTTCTAGTTATGATACTTTAAGAATAATTTAATTTTTTATATAAAAAATTAATTAGCATTTCGGTTTAGGATGCATTAAGAGTAACTTAAATATTTTTTTATAACAAAAAAATTATAAAAATTATTAATTAGAATTTCTATTTAGAAAACTTCATGGATAGTTTAATTTATTTTTATAAAAAATAGAAACAAATTATCAAAAAATTATTTAGGATATTTCAAATGTAGTTTAAACATCTTTTTTTAAAAAAAAAAACATTAATTATAATTTTTTTAATTAATTAGAATTTTTGTTTAGGATACTTCAAGTGTAGCTTAAATTAATTATAATTTTATAAAAAAAATATATAAAACAATTAATTAGAATTTTTGTTTACGATACTTCAAAGGGTAATTGAAATGTTTTTTTTATAAAAATAAAAAATATTTATAAAAAGTTAATTAGCATTTCTATTTAAGATACTTTAAAGATAATTTATTTTTTTATGAAAAATAAAAGGAAATTATATAAAAAAACTAATTAGCATTTCAGTTTAGGATATTTTAAAGGTAAATAGTTTTTTTTATAACAAATAAAACAAATTAATTAGAATTTCTGTTTAGGATTATTCAATGATAGTTTAAATTTTTTTTATAAAAAAATAAAAAAAACATTTATAAAAAAATTATTTAAGATATTTCAAGTGTAATTTAAATATTTTTTATAAGAAATGAAAAAAATATAAAAAAATTAATTAGCGTTTCTGTTTAAGATAATTGAAGGGTAGTTTAAATATTTTTTTTATAAAACATAGAAAAACTTTTGACAATATGCCTATGTTTAGGATATTTTAAAGGTAAATAGTTTTTTTTATAACAAATAAAACAAATTAATTAGAATTTATGTTTAGGATTATTCAATGATAGTTTAAATTTTTTTATAAAACATAAAAAAACATTTATAAAAAAATTATTTAAGATACTTCAAGTGTAATTTAAATATTTTTTATGAGAAATGAAAAAATTATAAAAAAATTAATTAGTGTTTATGTTTAAGATAATTGAAGGGTAGTTTAAATATTTTTTTTTATAAAACATAGAAAAACAGTAGTAAGAACAACTTCTCCCCAAAACTCACTAAGAACAAAAGCAAACAACAAGAGAGAACGAGCAATTTTGACAATATGCCTATGTTTTTTTTTAGCAACACCATTTTGCTCAAGAATATCTGAACATGAAGTTTGGTTGATGGTTCCATCTAAGGCAAGCAATTAGCAAAATTTATTAGAGGTGTATTCCCCACCCAAATGACACCTAAAGCATTTAATCACAGCAGAATGTTGAGTTTATATGCAATCCAATTGAAAGTGATAATTCAGCCATGCAACTCAAATTAATTAAAGTCTTTATACATGTTTTGTTGAAAATAAAAATAGCCAACAATCATATGTAATTGAATTAAAAGGTCTTGATATGAACAATGTATATTCGTGAAGATAAAATAAAACCTAATAAAACAATAATGGTTAAGCATAAAGTTCAAATATGAACTTGAGAGATGAACAATAACAACAATAAAAACAACTATGCGATTATAAAAATCAAAAGCAAATAATTATGAAAAATATATTCATTCTACTACAAAAATAATAGTTATTGTAGTTGAAAGAAGCAAATGCAACAATAAAGAAAATGAGTGGAATTTGGTGTGATAAACAGAGGTGATACTAAATGAATAATTTTTTTTCTCAACAAAATCTCGCGAAACAAATCATATGCAATCCAATTGAAAATGATAATTCAGCCATCAATTACATGCAACTCAAATTAATTAAAGTCTTTATACATGTTTTGTTGAAAATAAAAATAGCCAACAATCATATGTAATTGAATTAAAAGGTCTTGATACGAGTAATGTATATTCGTGAAGATAAAACAGAACCCAATAAAACAATAATGGTTAAGCATAAAATTGTAAATCATTTTAGGCACAAATCATATGTACTGAAATTTAAAGTGATAATTTAATTGCTAATTATATATAATTTAATTTAAAGGTCAAGAAAACATAAAACAACATGTTAAAAATTCTTAATTTAACATGCAGCATCTTAAATGACCATGTCAAACCAATAAAAAAAATTTAATTCTCTATTTTCAAGCATAAAAGTAATAACCTTGATTGTATGAGTTATTTCATTAGTTAACCTAGCAATTAACACCCAAATAGAAAAATCTTTATTATCATTTCTTATTCTTAAGCATCTTTCATTTCGAAATATATCTCTTTAAGTAACATCTAACATGAGTTCAATCATTTTGTTTTTTTAAACACACATCACTAAGCATGAGTTCAAACAACATCTTTTTTAAAAAACATATATCATCAAGCATATATTTCCTAGCAAAGCAAAACAATAACCTAATCTTAAGCTATCATGAAAACAAAGAATAAGCATTAATTAATTCAATTTAAGCTTCTTCTATACTAAAAAAAATATTTAAACTAATTTAGTAGAAAATAGC